TTCTATAGGTAAACACGTCTTAGGACCAAACCTATGATGATAATTTCTGTAGACCAGAGTAATACTTGCTAGCTAATAAAGACATAGTTTTACTTTCCTACCTAATGGCACTTGTACTATCCTTATAATTTTCTCTGATAAAAACTCAAGTTCAATTTAGTTTTGTCTTCCTGAGTACTATCATGAAACATGGTCAGTTTTCCCACAGTAGTAGAATAGTAAAATTCCCATTTTCTATATGAAAGATTGATTTCCTATTCAATTCTCTCTCTCTCTCTCTCTCTCTCTCTCTCTCTCTCTCTCTCTCTCTCTCTCTCTCTCTCTTTTTGCGGAACCAGGGATTGAACTCAGGCCCTTGAGCTCGCCAGGGAAGTGCTTATTCCACTGAGCCATCTCCCTGGTCCCTCAATTCTCTTTTGACAGCAACCTAGTATAGTGCTTATTACAAAACAGGCATTCAGTACATATCATCAACTGGTAGAAAATGTGTTCAACAATAAGTCAATAGGTACAAAAAATAGGAAAGCTAGAGGGGGAAAAAAGGCTCTCCTGTTTTATACCTTTTCATAAGCACTATCCCTACATTTCAACAGTTGTCACAAAAACCTCACATATTTTGTGGCTTTATTAATACTTAGCACATAACCATCCTCTCCAAGGTGAAATATCTGCTCTCTGCAGACCATAATAATCACATAGACAAATGCATCATGAATTACTTAAACTTTCCTCAGGACACTGTGAACATACAGGTCACAATGGGCCCCTAAGTTTTCTTTGCACTTCACAATACAAGTGGGTTTTGATTATTTCTGTCAAATTTCTCTTACTATGGAAAATTAAAGAATAGCAGATATAATCAATCACTAATGAATATCCACAAATCTACTAGTAGTGGAAGGATTCTAACTTTTCATTTGAAGTCAAGTCTTCTTATAAAAATGATAAGATTTCTGACATCTTAATAAAATATCACCCCACATATTTGGAAGTTATTTTTGTCTGATTATTTAAAGGCTAATCATCTATACATATGAATTCTGGCCTTGTAAAAACCCAATAAACATGGGCTGGCGAGATAGCTTAGCAGACTATCTGCTGTGGCAAGTGCAGGAAGCAGGGCTCAATTCCTGGTTCTGCATGCTGCGCTGGCTCTGCCCCTGGGGCACGCTGAGCTGGTGATGGTGTCCAGGCATGGTGGCGCACGCCTAAGATCCCTGTGCTGGACATGCTGAAAACAGGAGGATCACTACGAGTGTGAGCTGTGTAGTGAAACCCTGTACTAGATATATAAATGAAAGAAAAAACAATAAATAAATGCATAGAATCATTTGCAACTTTGCATTTTGTTGTTATACTCCTATGGCTAAAAGTCAACTAAATACTAAAGCAATGATAATAAAAACAACATGGTTGACATTGAGAAGTAGCTATATGCTAGATTGTCTTGTAAGTGTTTCACTTGGCTACTGTAAGCTTCACAGTAACTCACTGAGTATATTGCTCTTCATTAGGTATAAAATGTTGGGTTTCAGGTCAGTTCATTTTTGAGGACTCAAATTCTAACTGGTCAAGAAAAAAATGTTGAGTCAAGAGAAAAAGGACTTGAAAGAAGCATTCAAGAGGACAACTGCCTTTTAAGATAGAAATACTCATCTCAACATTTCAAAACCTAGTATTTATATCTACTTTTATAAATGCATGGTAACTTGATGAATTGGGTTTTGAGCTGACAGTTTTCCCAAGTAAAATATAAACAAGGTCCTACCTTCTGACATGAAAACGATATCTCTTTGTTGTAAAATAATTTGCTTACACATACACATACTACTTCCAAGAGATAATAATATGCTGTCTACTTGCAAAATAGATAAGGGAAATTTTGAGAATTTTCCCCCAAATACCACAGTAGCATATATTGCTACATTTATTTCCTTCTATGCTCATGTCTGTTTCATTTGTATATTCTCAGTGGCTCAATTTTATTGTTTTTGTTTTAGCAAAGAGTATGTAACTTATAATGGATGCCCCAAACACATCTGTTTAATGGCAGAATGATTTAACTTACAGAGTTCATACTTTCCTTGCAGGTTGAAAGCATAATTCTCAACTAGACCATAAGCCATCCATAGTTATTCAAGTCACACACCTGTTTCCTTACATATCATTGCTGAAATACATTTTATATTTTCTTACTCTGCATCCCTCTTAGATTCGAGGTGTTCTGTTAAAAAAGCAATATGACTTCAATTTGTTTTTATGTTCATCTTTGCAAAAGTAAAAATGAATCATTGAATAAGCTCAATTGCATTGTATTATAATATGGTACAAACGAATCATAGTCTCATGTTGGCATCATTTAATCAATTATTCCAGAGCATCAGCTAATGTTATAACGACTGGAAAATGGAATATGTAAGGGACGTATTCTGCAAGAACAGCATAAGCACAAATTGAAAATGTGAATTAAAGGTATTAGTATACTGTTAACTGCTAACAAATGGGTCATTCTCATTTTCTTCAGACCATCCTTAATTGGAGGAAAGTCAAGCAGAAGGGCTCTCCTAAGTCCCACCTTTGGGCTTTCTCCTCCCTTTGAGTATGTACCTTTGAGCGTGGACCAGCTGAGGCTGAGGGCATCTCCAGTCTCCTTTCCCACATCTTCACACGCACCCTTCCCTCAGACACGCCAGTTGATGTGAAGTTTCAAGTGTGGCCAACAACTTCCTGCCTTTGCCAGTGCTGCTCCTCAGGGCTACACAGCTCTCACTGCCACAGCTCTGAATCGCGCGTCAAGGCATGCTGAGAATCCTGGAAGCCTTTCCTTACTATCTTCTGAATGAGGTGTTCCTTCACACTGTTACCATTTCCTTTCTAGCTATTGATTGAATCAGTGGAGCATAATTTCAATACTGATTTTCTCTCTTGACAATCATTTTCTCATTTGTCATTCTTTAGACTTCTTCAGAGGTGTACCTTGTTCTTCTAGATATGCTAGTATAGCTTCACTATGTGAGTTTCGTAAGCAATGTCTGTTTAATGAAATTTTAAGCATTCTCTTTGTTGTCTTTCGGATATTTAAATCGTGTCTCTTAAACTATTACATGTTTTCACCTGGGATCCCTATAGCTCAGAGACAGCTCTGGGTGGAAAGGAAAATAAAACGACTATATTTGAATTGTACTCATGTTTCTAGGAATTAAATTCTTAGTTATCAGTTCACTAAAAATCACATGCTAAGTATACTAATTTGTTATTAACATAAATTGCAGTAGAAAATGCCATTATTTCAAAGTAGGAACTCTGTTAAGTTCTCCTTCTATTAGTCACTGACTTAGTAACCACAGTTCCTTGTCTGTACAGTGGAACTAACAATAAAGAACTCAGATAAGGTGTAAAAAGCTTAGTGCAAAAATCTGGTACAAAGCGCCATCATAAGAACAGTATCACCTGCCTTGGAAAATTAATCTTTGATGATAGATTAGATAAATAATTTCATAGAGTTCTTCAAACTGTAAAGTGCAATCTAAGCGTCACATATTAGTACCTGATGAATAAAACTGCCGCTTATTATTTACCTATCTTTAAACAGGTGGAGTTTTGTGATACCTTATTCCCCAGCAGTTGGCTTTCACCATGCAGCTGCCGCCTGGGGAAGATCCTTTATTTTTACAGGACCAGTTAAGGATTGCTAAGTAGGCAAGACTTCCTTGAAGCAAACGTCCTCTTGTTTTTCCCCATCTCGGAAGAATGCCAGCAAATGCGCACTTTTCTGTACCTAACGACAGAAGTGGCTTGCAAACGCTATCCATGCTATTGGTGATGGGGTTGTGGCGCTCAGAGTTAGTTATTGTTCAATTTCTCCCGTGTTAATTTCTCTCAGCTCCATCTCTGTGATGGCCTGGTCACTGCACACTCCTGCCATGTTGAATGAACCGTTTTTACTCTCTTGGAACTAAGTACATAAGTAACAGAAGGGCAGAAAGAAACTGCTAGGTGGTTCCGGGACCGCGAAATCCGCACAGACGCGGCAAGCTGCAGGTGCTGCCGCGCGACGCCCACTGGAGGCCAGAAACGGCAGCGACCGCGCGGTCTGCCAGCCACAGGGCTGGCCGGCCGGCCGAGGGCTAGCAGTGCCGGCCGACCGGCAGGCGCGGAAGTGCGGGCTGAATGTTTACATTACACAACCTGTTTCCAGTCAGTGGCATCCCAACGCAGCAAACAGTCAAGCTGCGTTCGCGCGGAGCCAGTGTCATTTCCCAATATTAACTATCTTGCTTCTGCGTCTGCAGAAATAAAATTGTTTCCAGAGAAAGCCGCTCTCCTTTTTCTCTCGCGTATGTTCAAGAGGACTTTTATAATTTGGCCTTCACCAGAGCGTCAACAGCAGCACTGAAAGGCGGGCGACTTTGCAAAGTCCCGGCGGAACCCAGGCCCGCTCTCCGCGCCCGCGTTTAACCTGGGGAGAGAATTCTGGCGCGCGCCGCCCGACTGCGCCCCGCCGCCGAAGCCGGGGCAGACCCCCCGCCCCCGCC